CCCCCCGCCTCCCCCGGATTCCGCGCCCGGGACCCGCACCTCGGAAGCGCGCAGGGGTCGGGCGGGCGGGATCGGGTCCAGCCGCCACCCGCACTGCAGTGGCCACACACGCGCTCACGCAGGCAGCGGGATCCATGCAAGCTGGGCGCCCGAGGCTCTGAGCCCACGGGCGCCGGGGCTCCCCGAGAGCCCCTCCTTCGAGCTTGCCCACCCTTCAGTGCCAGCTGCAATCCTGCGGCACCCGGCGGGGAGGGGAGGAGGCCGCTGCAGAAGCTCCGTCGTCTCCGGCTCGCCTCTCTCGGGCCCCAGCGGCAGGAGAGGGCAGCGCCCAGAGCTGCTGCGCCAAAAAGGGCAATGAGAGCCGGTCCGGCCCCCGCCCGGCGCACGGGCCGCTTCCCACCGCTCCGATCCAAGGCTCCTGCCTTCCCCATCCATAAAAGGAGGGGGAGTGAGTCTCTGCGGAGAGGCGGGGCGGGTTGAGGGGCGCGTCTAGGGCACTCACCTGACGGCTGCCACGCGCCCCCGCCCCAGAGCCAAAGCCTGGGACGCCTGATAGAGGAACTTGCACTCATGTCGAGGTGGAAGAGAGGCCCGAATCGGGAAGGGGGCGGCTGCCTGAGCCAGTGCCACCTTGACACCCCGCACCCGCCAGGTCCCTACTCCCTGGCGGAAGGCCCAGCCTCGCCCTGAACCGGGAACTGAGGGGGTGGACGGAAAGGAAGGAAGGAAGGAAGGAAGGAAGGAAGGAAGGAAGGAAGGAAGGAAGGAAGGAAGGAAGGAAAGAAGGAAAGAAGCCATGGGTGCGGAACTCTTGGGTTCCGTCTTGGGATTCGATGGAGCGGGAGCATAAAGCGCCGCCTCCGGCCAGGCCTTACACAGACAGGGTTGCGAGGAGGCAACCCGTGGACAGAGGTCTGAGCAAGGCTGGACGGTTCCCCCACTGCAAAAGAGAGATTCCGGGTGGGATTGGATCCAGACGGCAAGCCCCACTCGGCCATTAATCAGGGCTAAGGAGATGTGTACCTTGGGGAACCCTAAACTAGACAGTCTAGGGCTCTGGAGACCAGGAGGTGCACATGGGTGGGGGTGGGGTACGGCCGAGAATCCCGCCCGTCCAGTCCACTAACTTATTCTGTGAATTAACCCGAGCCCCCTGCCGCGCCCAAGCTCCCGGAGCCCTCCAGACAAAGGCGCAGCGGGGCCAGAGCCTTTCATCCTAGCTCTGCTGGTTCCCGCATTTCAAAGACCGAGTTGGGAGGGCACTTCGAGGGTCGCTCACCTCCCCCCAAATACCTGGAAAGTGGAGCCTCCCTTCGGATAGCTAGGGGCCGAAGGCTATTCTGTGGCCTTCAGGTCTTCCTTTTACCCGAAGCCCCACACGCCACGCCCCTGCCTATCACCTCGGGGTGGTCAGGAGGAAGAGGAACACCCCCCCATCCGCCCCCCCGCCGAACGAGGGAAATGGAAACATTAAGAAGCGCCCCACCTCTAGGTCCTCGAAAGCCAGGCCTTGTCGTCCAGGTGGAAGCTTCTTCGGCTTTGGAGAGAGAGACCCGCTGGATGGTTTCTGAAGGCAACCACCAGGACCTAGCTGGACCTGGGTCGAGACCCTCACCTTCTTATCCCAGGAGTACTGCGCATCCTGTCCCTCCGAGCTCTCGGACTCCTCTCCTGCAGAGGGGACCCGAGGCCGCGTCTTTCCAATTCGAGGACCAGGTGTGACAGTGGATGTGGGAATTCAGGAGGAAGATAGGGTTGCATTGCGGAGGGGATGCAACGCCCGTCCGGCCACCACCCCCGCATGGAGGCCGCGGGTTCCTGGAGACCCGGCCTAGACCGGTGGTTTTCTCTCCTCCCTTTACACTCCTGGAGCAGCAGGGGCGCCCGGCTGGAAATCAGAGCAGGGCAGGAGGAAATCTGGGGGCGCAGGAGGGGGCGCCTGGGGCAGGAGCCTGGGGCCAGAGTGAGGCAAGGTCTGGCTACATCGTCCCGGACACAAGAGCTGCGGGGAGCCGGGCGCAGGCACAGCTCTAATCGCCGACCGCTATTAAAAATAAAACCGCGACCTGTCGTCATAGCGACCACAACAACAGAGGCAGCGCGAGGGTGGTAAGAACTTGTGCAGCCAGGCTGCCAGCCGCCTGGGGGGAGTGGGGCACGCGCGCCCTGGAGCACACCGGGTTCTCTGCTTTGGAGCAGGGACCCCCTACCCCGCCACGATGCTGCGCCCAGAGGTCTTCGGAAGGCACTGGAAGAGATGATCGCCTGGTCTCAGAGAACTGGGATTGGCTAAGCCAAGTGCTCAAAGTCCTAGGAGAACCAGACCACTACAGACCTCTCTCTGCCTCTGTACCTCTTGCGACCCGCGGCTCACTCTCCAGGTCTTATTTTAGCCCCCGAAGATAGACCTACGTGAGGGGGTGGAGTTGAGGTGCCAGGCCTGGGGGTGGAGGGGACAGAGATCCTAGCTGGCAGGGTTGCACGTTGTGCGCGCGGGGCACAGCACCTGTCCCACTCGCGCCGTCGGTGATCCCTGCTGGTGGGAGTGGTCACGTGCTTCCTTCTGGCTGGGATTCGAGTTTCACTTCCAGCCGCTATTAGGCAGTTCACTCGGTTCACTGCAAACATTTGATAATGAGGCTAAATATACTTTGGAGTTGGAGGAGGTGTGGGCGGCCGCTGCCCTAGCGCGTGGGTGCGGTGCTTCAGGCTCCGCAGGGCATCCCCTCCAGAGCGGCTGAGGACAACCCCGAGCCTAGTGCGGGAGAAAGACCCACACATCCCGCGAAACAATCCGATTCCAGCCAGGATCAACATCTTCTGTGGGCGACTGGAGTCAGCTGGAAAACCTCTGGAGGAAGAATCCGCAGCAGCTGGGCTCCAGGTCCGGGAGGAGGTGCTGAAGGCCTAGAAGATGCACCTGGCGGTGGCCAGGGATGTCCGGTCGCCCCCGAAGCCAATGCTTCCGGACTGTCTCAGCGCCGCGGACGCGCCCCCGACGTGCCCACGGCTCATAATTAAAAGTGTTTGGTGCCCCCAAATAGGCCGGGGGGGGCTGCGCGGCAGGGATGACTGGCTAGCATCTAAAACTTGCTGGCGGCCTCTCCACACCACCCAAGACCCTCGGTGCGCACGGAGGAGTAGGACGGCCTTGGATGGAGCTGGAGAGAGATGACCTAACTGGATTAAGAAATTGGCCCTGTAGTTCAGCGCTTTGTGAAATCCACTTTCACCCGAGACCGGCTCATCCCCGTGCAGCCAGCGCCCTTCAGCTGCCCGGCACTGGCAGGTGCTCAATTATTCCTGTCGTTACTATTCATTAGTAGCCAGGACTAATGCTGAGCCTTCCCACTGCGCCAGGTTCTTTCCCTGTAAAATCCATTTCACATTCACACAGCCACCTCCAGGGAGAGGGGTTTTATTCCTCCTCCCATTCTATGAGGACAGGTGAGACTGAGTACCCAAGGACTCTGTGCCCCATCCCTTGGGAGCCTCGAGAAGACATAAAACCAGAATGGCCCAGGTGACATTTGTACTAGGCAAGAATGTGAAGGCAATAGATAGGAATGGCTGATCCCAGGACTGGAGCCACACCGACTGGACACCAGCACCACCCCTAAAAAAGAGGAGGCTGTCCAAATCCCCTCCACTCTGTTGTCTGACCTTGGTCTTGGTGTCATTTGCCTTGAACTCAGGTGGTCTGTGCTGCACGTGGTCCCGGAGCCACCAGCTCCCAGAAGCCCAGGAGCCTCTGTCTATGCAGGCCAGCCATCCCCAGCCCCAGGTATCCAGGCACTGCCCAGTGCCAGAGCCATCCCAGAACAATTTGTAATGTAGAAACACCAGTTTCTCTTTATCTCTGGGCAAGGCTTTCTTGGTTCTGGGCAATTAACCCAGATGGAGCCTCAGCCATGTGGGCTCTGGCCCTTGAAGATCAAGAGTACCTAAGCACAAGTCTTAATTAAGTCATTATCTTGCCCCCCTCCCTTCTCTGGGGTAAGGATCGGGCCTTTCCAGTTCAGGTTCCCAGAAAGGAAGATAAGTCTGTGTTGGGGTGGGAAGCCACGTCTGGGTTGCTTTCTACTCCCTGTTAAGTACTTTTATTTTCACTTTTAAATATCAAGGCAACCTGGTCTACATAGAGAGTTCTAGGACAGGTAGGGCTACAGGGAGACCTCTTGTCAAAAAAAAAAAAAAAAAGTAGACAAAGCCACGATAGACTTGTGAATATTTTGTCAATGAAGACCTATGTAAAGAGGTATACAATGGCTTTGTGGGCTAGAGAGATGACTCAGCAATTAAGAGCACTGGTTGCTCTTACAGAGGACCCAAGTTTGGTTCCCAGCACCCACATGGTGGCTAAAAATTTTCTGAAACTCCAGTTCCAGGGGATCCGACGCCCTCTTCTGGCCTCTGTGGGTATTATATGACATGGGTGCACTTACATGCATACAGACAAAACACTCATACACATAAAATAAAAATAAATAACAGATATATCGTAACTTTTGAATGGGAAAGCCTAGGAACTGGGAATAGAGCACAGTTGGTAAAGTGCATGCTTACCAAACACAAGGCCAAGGCCCTGGGCTCCATTCCCAGCACCATAGTGTGTTTGGATTTGGTGGTGCACACCTTTAGTCCCAGCACTCAGGAGGCAGAGGCAGGAAGATCTTTGTGAGTTCAAGGCCAGCCTGGTCTACATAGTGAATTCCAGGCCAGCTGGGGCTACAGGGAGACCTCAAAGTGACCAAAAAAAAAAAAAAAAAAACCCACCCCATGTGTGGTGGCATATTCCTGTAATCCCACACTCTAGAGGCAGGAAATCAGGAGTTCAAGGTGGTCCTTTGGCTACCTAATGAGTTCAAGGCCAGCCTGGGTTACAGGAGATCTTGTCTCAGAGAGAGGGTGGGTAGTGGAGAATTGATTAGAGGAAGCTCAACTGGGCATGGTGATACATGACTGTAACCTGAGCATTCAGGAGACATAAGGATTGCCTCAAGTTTCAAAGCCAGCCTGGGCTACATAGTAAGACCTTGTCTCAAAAACAAAGCGAAAAATTAAGAACCAAAGAAAGAATAGGGTCTGTCCTGGTCAGGAGCCCCAGCCACAAGTGGCCACCAAGCATTTCAGTGTGGCTAGTCAGAACTATGCTACCTGGAAAACATGCAAGTTAAAAAAAAAAAGAAAAGAAAAGAAAAAACGGAGTACAAGGTGGAATCTAGAGTAAAACTTAGTCTTTTTTTTTTTTTTTTTTTGAGACAGCGTCTCCCTGTAACCCCAGCTGTCCTGGAACTCACTATGTAGACCAGGCTGGCCTTGAGCTCACAGAGATCCGCCTGCCTCTGCCTCCCGAGTGTTGGGACTACAGGTGTGCACCACCACGCCCAGCTGAAAACTTAGTCACTTTTATGCAAACTGTGGGTTGTAATGATAATATTTCCCACGAGCGATGTTAAACAATATGGTTGTAATTTACCCATTTATTTTTTCTTCTCTTAATTATGACATGTAGAAGTCAGGCCTGGTGTTAGCACAAGCTAGTCATCTCAGAACTCAGGAGGCTGGATTAGGAGGATCACAAGTTCCAGGTCAGCCTGGGCTATACAGCAAAACCCTCTGGGAGGTGTGGGGGGGCAGAGAGAGAGAGAGAAACATCTGGAGCCTCTTTGTGGCTTATGCCTATAATTCCAGCAGTTGAGGCAGAGGCGGAGGCAGGAGAACTGGGAGTTCTAGGCCAGCCTGGGCTACATAGTGAGTTTCAGGGCTACAGCAGAAGACCTTGTCTCAAAAATGAAAGAAAGAAAAAAACAAAAAATCCCCCAAATGGGGGAGGGGCCTGTGGCTCACCTGTTTCCTCCTGGTGCTACAGCCAATGGGGAAGGAGCCTGGCTAGAGAGCATGGCCTCTAGCATGACCAAACCTAGGCTCAGCTCCCACCCACACTGCCTCCCCCTTCTAAAGCAGGCTGCTGTATAGCTCTGAGCAAGCAAGCTGTTTGGCCTCTCAGAGGCTCAAGTTGGCTTCCTCCTCTTGTAACAGTCAGTTCCCAAGGTGGCCTTCAGATACGTCTGTTCAACAAGTGTGTGCCAGGCATCTGGGTAAACATGGGAGGGATGGACGTGCACATGCATTGTTGAGCCCACTGTCTGTAGGAAGCAATAAACCAAGCAGCAAGTGGCTGTCACTTCAGGTGGCTGGGGAGGAAGGTTCAATAGAAGAACCAGGCTAAGAATTCCAGACCCAGATAACAACAGCAAGTGGTAAGGGCCTGGGGCAGGAACCAGCTTGACAGGTCAGTTGGATAGAAGGGAGACAGGTCAGAGGCAGCCTGTGGGTTGACCCCAGGGCCTTTAAGGCCAATAGAAGGAATTTGGATCTTTTTTTTCTTTTGGTTTATTGATACAGGATCTGGCCTCAAATCCAGAATCTTCTTGCCTTAGCCTCCTGAGTGCTGGGATAACAGGCCTGCGCCTCCACTCTGCTGAATTGTGTTCTAGGGAAAATGAAGCCATCGAGGGGAACACGGAGTATAGTGACATCAAGGGAACAGCCATTGTCCCTGAAGATTCCTGCAGAGTGAACCAGGGCTGTGATAGCCTTGCAAGTGTGCTCAGATGCTCAGAGCTGGTGCTGGACCATAGTGGAGCTGGCTAGGTGCCCCCCTCATCAGACAGACCAAAGCAGCTCACAGCAGGTCCCCCTCCACACCACCAGCTGCTTCCACCTCACAAGCACTCCCCTGGGAGTATGTACCAGGGTCTAAGGTGGAAGCTGCAGCCCTGTCAGAGCAAGGTTCCCTGTTATGTGATATAACAGCCCTCGGATTCCATCAGTGCACAGACGACCCAAACCCGGGCAGAAGGAGTGGTTGGTGTTTCACAAAGGCCCCTCTTGCGTATTGGTGAACAGACCCTAGGAAGAGAAAGACTGTTTTCAGGGACAGTGTGGTCTATCGAAAGTGGTAACCAGGCTCCACATCCACAGGGTTCCAGTGGGGACATGCGAAGACCCACTCAGGCC